GTGTGTGTGGTTCGTACGCCTTCTCTTGGTTAGTTTGGAATCAGGGTTTTTTGGAAAATTTCCTAGGTGAACCACCAGTGATCCACCAACCCGGTTATAACCCCGGATGTCGGCTTTTCGTTCTCTCACTTTGGTGGGAAAACACCGCTGTCACGAGAAGGCAGTGAGTCGGGCTTTCTCAGCAGATGCTGTTTGAAACGCTTGATCGTATGGAAGCATTTCGCGAGGTGCAAGAGAAGGGTGACCAGCCGCAACCCTAGACACCCACCCCGACCATACTGAGGCTTTTGAAGACAGTAATAATGAAACGATTAGATATTCTGTAATCGTGGTACTTATTACAGTCATTCTCGGAAATTGGTTCGGTTTCAGTTCATACTACCGTGTATGTTGCATCTCCGCGCTTTGGTTCTGGTTTACTGTTTTTCGGCTCCTCACTGATGAATAAACAAATAAGGTCGACAAATAGCAATAGCAATGTTGATAAAGAATACGGGTACACTAGAGGTTCGTAGAAGGTGGATGCATGCGTGAGTGCCATTGTTGATCTGGAATAGTGAGTTGTCTAAGATAACAACTGTATTATTTGAAGAAATAGTAGGTGTATATTGTTTGCCAAGAGACAACAGAACCGCTCACCGCCAGAATAAACCGTTGTTTACGGGACCCTAAACAACTGGTCTAATAGGCCAGTAATCTGCACGGACAAATTGGACGACCAGTCGAGATGGCAATTGCACATGGTCAATGTTATTTATCTTACCGGTCAAGTTCTGTTTAGACTGGTTTTTTTCTACCCATTTGAATGATCATGTTGATTGGATACGTTGTCAAGTGTCTGTTCCTATTGTCTGCTTGGTTTTTCCACTTGTAGTTGCTATCGTTGACGGTTAGTCACCCGCACTGCATATCCGTTTTCGGTGGATTACAATGATGCGATAATCCGTTTGATCTCAATGAATCCTGTGTGAAACCGGACTCCGTTTCACCGGTATTTGGGATTCGGATCAGCTTCTGCCTGAGCCTGTCATCATCTGTTTTCATTCGTTGTCCAGATCTCCGACCACGCTTACGATGCTTTGTAACAGCATTGTGCAATATCATTGAAGACTTTTTTTAGACTGTCACTAAGACGAGCAAACTTGAACTCATAGCGCATTCTGTTCGGTTCACCAAAGCCAAGTACTCATACAACCGGGTCGATAGATGCCTTTGGAATTTACGTTCCCTTCTCCTGACTAGTTCAACTAGCCGAACGGTTTTTTAGTGCTTTTTTACCCTTTTACTGGCTTTCAGAGCCGACTTGATCGGGATTGAGATTTAACAAAACCCCGCCAATGGTGTGTAGGTTCATGCTTAGGGGGAACAGTATATCACCGTTTGAAAGTGTTTAAAATACTACTCCATCTACGCCTACCTTATTCGATCGTCGTCCAGCTGATGCATTTGCAATTTCTCTACAGGAGTCAGAAAGTAACACAATCAAAGATTTATCGTCACCCACTCCAGATGAAGAACCACCTGTATTTGTCGAATCGGAGGCCGTCGCACCTGTTGCTTCTGGTAAGTTATCGATCTGGAACTGTTCAGAATGAGCATTGTTGTTTTTGACGCTTCAGGCATAAAAACATAAACGTGATACCGCATAGCGAATGCTTCATGTAGTCGGTCCAGCTCTACGGGTAGCTCTTTTTTTCCATTTACTCTATCAGAGGTGTATTTTTAAATGAATAACATTTACTCGAGAGAGTAGTGGAGGATTTGTTTCGATCCTATATTGGATTTCATCGTGTACAGAGCACTACGAAGTGTGGAGCGAAAAACTAGAAAGTGCTGCCATCACGACAAGACTGCACCTTGCCGTGGTGTGATGGCTTACGTGCCTCCGTGACCCTGCGAGCTATACAGGATGGCTTTTCACGGCCGCAGATCTAGTCATGCCTGAAAGATCAATTGGTAGAGGCCAAACAAAGCTCACTCACAGGGACAACTGCTTGGATATCTCCCGGTTTCCTTTTGACTATCCACTCTTGCTCCCAGGTAGGTTACTCCAGAAAACAAACATGGGGGGTGGGGATGTGTATGGGTGAACAGTTTACCGACACAAACCCCGCTTGATAGATGTTGGGTACCGGGGACTTCCTCCTAAAGGTGGGGAAGTCTTCGCATGTGATTGGACAGCTGTCTCTCGTCTCAGCTAGACAGTGTCCATCCAATAGGATGCTGTCCCGTCCACGATCCATTTGTTTTATTGGGTTCATGAACCGATCCATAACATCGGACCGATATGCAATGTATCAGTGAGCAAAACACTAAACCGAGGCCCGAAGGCTTTGTCTGAAGTGTCTTTAGAGCTCCCACATGAGCACCTCGGTCACATCCTCGCGTTTGACTTATGCCTCACTACCTTGCGAGTCAGACTTGAAACGAAGGCTGCGGTTAGGGTTCGCCAAGTGCGATCCTTTCGTCGGAATGGGCTTCCGCGAATTACGTCGAACCGTGAAGTTTCAGACACCCATTTGAAAAATCCACTTTCTAATTCGCCTAGTTCTTTCCCCTGCTCAAAAACCTTACAAAATACGTTATGTTCCTGCTACTCAGACTATGTCATTCCGCATCAAGTAATAGGGTAAATCAATCAGAGGCTACTGGTTTCGCCAAACTAAAATCTGCTTTTTTAGGCGTCCTCCATGTCCGCACATTGAATTATATCGGTCAACTAACCCTTGAAACCTTTAATTTAGGTGTGTGCTGTCTCCGAAACACGCATATAAAGCTTAATTTCAGTCATCACACTGATATCTTCAGGTCCAACCACACTCGTGTGTTTCGTCATTTGATGCTCACGTCCTTACCGGTTTCGTTATTACTTCAGTTGCGAGGGCTCAGCACTCGCTTCTTGACTGGATTCCACTCCGTAGCCTACTGTGCTGCTACACGTCTCAGCGTTTCAGTGCTGGCCGATGACAGCAGAACGAATCGTCGGCGTTTATCCTTCTTATCCGTGCATACACAGACTGATTGTAGTGCGCATGAATCCACCTTTTTAAACTATCCCATTGTGTCCGCTCAACGGGCATAGTAGAAGTAGTCGCTGGAGACTTCAATTCTCAATTGAGATGCCTGTGCCAATCCAAAAGGTGCTTAATGAAAAGAGCTGACATACGCCTCAATTATGGGTAACAGTCGCTATCTTTCACCGCTGACCAAGAGTATACGATCACGGAAAGTAGGCGTGAGGCCCGACATCTCACTGATTCATATTCAACAACACCGTCTTGAGCAATGGGCAGAACATTTTAGGGTGCAGTTCAACTGTCCTCCACGAACGGTTTCAGCTGAGTAATTACTGCCAGTTTAGTTATTAGTCGTCCCTCAGAAATGAAAGTTACTCGAAAAAGAAAAGTTATCTCAGAAATTCTAAGGTCCCGACCCTGATGGATTGTGTCCATTAACTTTTACGGATATAATTTCGACCTCGGTTTTAGAGTTAAAGAAGCTCCTGGGTTCATTACACGAGACCTCACAGGTTCCATCCAAATGAAGTTAATCAGTAATTTTACCGATTTACAACAAATTCCGCCGCTTCTCTTATGAAAGTCCCAGAACTGATTTTTATCAACGTCGTCGTCTCCTAGGTCCTTTCTGGCATCACAGTTTGTCGATTATCTATTTCACATGAATTGCGCGCACGTGCGAATTAGACTGGTTTTAGACCTGGTCGTGACTTGGATGGAACACATTGCGACTGTTCACTGAATTCAGGAACATCGAGACTCCTTTTGAAAACGCACAATTTCTATCTTTGATCTAAAAGTGACCACCAACTCAGTCAGCTGCACTGAACTGTTAGGTGCTTCTCTTTTAACGGTATTGCCGAAGAGGTTTTTCCCATCGTTCTGATCCTATTATACCAGTAGTCGTATTCGAGCTTCCGGTTCTTACCACTCCCCGGAGTCCAATTGGTGTTCATCAGTATTGCCCTCGTACTCTATTCAACCGTATAACTGATTTGATTTCGGAAACAGCCCTGTCTTTTTGCGAGGATGTCGTCATCGATAGGTAATGGACTGTTTACTCTGGAGTCTATAGACAATGTACTACTAAGTGATGAAGATCCAGGCATTTGCAAACAATAATGCCTAGTTTCAACGATAATGTAGTTAGTCATGTTCGACATATGTTTTGCTTGTGTAAACTGCTTGCACAGTATTAGATTGATCCAGCGCCCAGCCTCACTATCTGCAAAAACCCCAAAGAAATTAAACAAGTTATGCAACTAGGCCAGTTAGTATCACCTGGCGGACGCAGATAGAAGTCTGCAGCATTGTTTGACAAATTGAGACATCTTAAATGTCGTGATATCCCGCTATCCGTGAAGTGTGTACCACAACAGTATGGTGCAGAAAATTTACTGTTCCGCGGGCAGAATAACGGTAGACTATCGGTCTTGGAACAGCACTGTCTACACCGCATGACATAAGTTTGATGGAAAGCCTGGACAAGTGATACCACGGTTAGGCGCAGTTTTAGGTAGTCGCTGTCGGTCTTTCGGATGTGTCAAGAAATGAGTAGCCTGGAACGTGCGATGTTTCTGAAACAGGCAGTCATTAGAAGAACTTTAAAAGTGGTCAAGCAAAAATCTGGTATAAACGTACGAAAACGCCAACACTGTCATCTAGGCGGGGTTAGGCTTCCTGGATGGGACCTCGGGATCAGTGTAATCGATGATTACAGTACTGAGCCCAATCCCAATCTACCTGATACCAGCATCTTAGTCTGCTAAGTCATCTGAATAGTTGACCAAATAATATCAACCAAAACCGCCACCGGAAAGTAGGTGGTTAATGTCTTTGTAAACTGAAACTGTGTAGCTACACGAATCCATCGACACAACCGTGTCTGGGGTCGGCAACCTCACAGAGAAAACACAAGCATAATATCCATTTGATCAATGGGAATATAATCCAACCACTTTTATTGTCCGTTCTCGATGTAGCACTATTCGTCATTCCATTGCTTGGTCTGGATATCATACCGCAGGTTTTCATAAGACTACCGCGCTTGTTGAAAGCAAATATCAGCGGATTAGTACACTTTGTTGCCATTTGGTTAATTTTTTGCTGATCTAACATTTTCTATGACTTTGATTCCATTTCCGTAGACAAGTCGCAAACAAAAACGGCCACTACTGAATTAACGATGAAGAAATCGACTGTACCCCCTCCGATTCCTGCGAAACCACAATCTCTGGCACAACACGCCTTTCGACCACAACAGTTGACCACATCACGAAATGATCAAGCATCTGATTCCGTCCCACCTTCAAGTCCTCAACCAGTTCCTAGCAAACAATCCCCAGCACCGGCTTATGCTAACAGCATTCAGAAGAGTGCTAGCAATGTCGCCAAGCTTACTACAAAAGAATCTACCGCCCCCGTCCATGGCACAACCACTGCTGCTCCCCGTCGTCGTAACGGGACCCACCGGTTGACCGATCAACAAGTCCATGAACGACTGAAAACGATCGTGAGCAAAGGAAATCCGCATGATAAATATCGCCTGGTGGAGAAAATCGGACAAGGGTAAGTCGGCAAATG